CCTACCTCGCACTTCCAACGAGATAAGTGATGAATTAAACTTACGGCCAAAGGGAACAATAGAGTTGCGGTGAGACCATATAAGTTCCAGCATCCTTGCCCGGCGTTCAGGCTCCCACTTCATAGCGTCCTTCATGCCGCACTTAGCGGACCGCCGCAGCGGCTTTTCTACAAGCGCACCGCCTTCCGCGGCCGCTGTCTATATGCTCCTAAATCAACGCCTTCAATTCGGCGTGCCGCCGCGGCGGGCTTCCTAAGCGCACTGCCTTCCGCAGCCGCGTGTCATGCATTTGTGCCGCACTTAGCGGACCGCCGCAGCGGCTTTTCTATAAGCGCACCGCCTTCCGCGGCCGCTGTCTATATGCTCCTAAATCAACGCCTTCAATTCGGCGTGCCGCCGCAGCGGGCTTCCTAAGCGCACTGCCTTCCGCAGCCGCGTGTCATGCATTTGTGCCGCACTTAGCGGACCGCCGCAGCGGCTTTTCTATAAGCGCACCGCCTTCCGCGGCCGCTGTCTATATGCTCCTAAATCAACGCCTTCAATTCGGCGTGCCGCCGCGGCGGGCTTCCTAAGCGCACTGCCTTCCGCAGCCGCGTGTCATGCATTTGTGCCGCACTTAGCGGACCGCCGCAGCGGCTTTTCTATAAGCGCACCGCCTTCCGCGGCCGCTGTCTATATGCTCCTAAATCAACGCCTTCAATTCGGCGTGCCGCCGCGGCGGGCTTCCTAAGCGCACTGCCTTCCGCAGCCGCGTGTCATGCATTTGTGCCGCACTTAGCGGACCGCCGCAGCGGCTTTTCTATAAGCGCACCGCCTCCCGCGGCCGCTGTCTATATGCTCCTAAATCAACGCCTTCAATTCGGCGTGCCGCCGCGGCGGGCTTCCTAAGCGCACTGCCTTCCGCAGCCGCGTGTCATGCATTTGTGCCGCACTTAGCGGACCGCCGCAGCGGCTTTTCTATAAGCGCACCGCCTCCCGCGGCCGCTGTCTATATGCTCCTAAATCAACGCCTTCAATTCGGCGTGCCGCCGCGGCGGGCTTCCTAAGCGCACTGCCTTCCGCAGCCGCGTGTCATGCATTTGTGCCGCACTTAGCGGACCGCCGCAGCGGCTTTTCTACAAGCGCACCGCCTCCCGCGGCCGAAGGCTACATGCTCCTAAATCAACGCCTTGACTTCAACTGCCGCCTGCTTGCGGGTTTCTTAAGCGCCATCCTGTATGCCTGTCTTGCTCATTGTTCTGTGCCGCACTTCGCACGTAGGGTAGCTGTTATGTTGGTAAGTATCCTGCACCGGGCTATCTGGCGACTCGCGAGGATACCAGGGTAAATCAGGCGAACTCAAGACAAAGGGCGCCGATCAAGCCCCTCGCAACCTCTTGCCAACCAAGAGCTACTCCCGGCAAAACGGACTCCCAGCTAAAGCCTCGCCAACTGCGGGAGGCCGAGATAAAACCACCTTTCCTACTGACCTACGGACCTCGCGAACCCAACTAGAATTCCCCCGCCCACCGACAAGCAACAGAACCCACTATTCAGGTGCCTCTACTCAAGGCCGAACCAACCCAACCACCCGCGCAGTGCCCGCGCGCTTCACTTACTTGCATGGATGCCGTTGGCCCGCAATGTCGATCTGCGCGTCGCCGTTGTTGTTGTCTTCTCATATATAAGAGACGGCGTCCTATTGTAGGCAAAACCAAAGATAAAGGCAATCTAACATCACTCGTCAA